ATAGGCTTTTGCCCAAACTCTTATTAATATGAAATCCTATTTCTTCTGCCTTTGTGATTCTAATTTAATGGCATTCAGTGAAATCAAATTTTTTTTTTCCTTTTTGTCTTTTTTCATGACCGGCAACGGGATCGCAACCCTCGGTGTTGCACCCGCCCCTCGCTCAGCCAGTGAGCGGCCGGTCTGTATGTGGGATCCGAACCCTCGGCGGGAGCGCCGCCACGCTCCCAAGCTGCACACTGTAGCAGTGCGCCACCGGGCCGGCCCCTGAAATCAAATTATAATGGTCAATAGGTTAATAATAACCATGTATTTTATATGACCCTATACCAAAGGAGAAAATGAAAAATAATATATGAAAAATATTATAGAGTGTTAAGATGGTGGAATATAAGTTGAGACTCTTTGGGCTGTTTAAATCAAAACTAAGTCTGTGTTGCTGTATTCATGTGGATATATATCCCTCTCTGTCCTCAAGGAAGCTGATATAGTCTAGTTTTAGAGATCAAACGTGAATACAAATAACTGATGAAAGGTAGAAAGGAAATCGCTGACTTCTGTGAATCTATTACATATAAATCACCCTCAACCCAAGCTACTGCATGAGCTCACATTCCTTTCCCCCTTTTGAACCCTATGGGATGTTATTGCTACTCACTGTCACATAAAGAATAGGTAATGTGCAAATAGCAGTGTCTTTGCCTTCTCTGCACCTTTTATGCATTTCCCATGTTTTCTAAAACATGAGAAAGAATAAGAGCAAAAGAAAACCGTATGTCTTAGGTTAATACATTGAAATTGTAAGATAATTATGCATTTCTGATTGAGTTCAGATATATGAGAACAGCAGTGATTCCTTACTTCTGCCTTCTAATCAGTGATCATACACGTTTACCAAATCGCTCCGCAGTGACTGATGTACACCGTCATGTTTATCCAGCCCGGAAATCAAGTTCATTGTGATCATTGCTGGTAGAATATTGCTGAAGCACCTTAGACCCTGTCTTATTCTTCAGTTGAGCTGCTTCATTATTGGCAAATGAACATGTTTGTTTACCTTTTAGTTTTTCTTTCAGCCCCTTCTCCATTTCCCCTTTCACATTTGAGTCATTGAAAATTTACATTAATTTATATTAATTGCATTGGAATTCCCGTTTCCCACACAATTCATTGTGGCCTTGATATCTTGCACATGGCTTATTGTTAACACACATCTGCCTCTCTGTGCAAGCATGCCCGGGCCCACAGCTTTATTTACTCATCTCCTTCTTGCTGACCCTGGCAGCTCTATTGCAGATGAGCCCTCCCTGATAAAGTCCCACAGTATGTCCCCTTACTCTCCACACCTAGCTGTTGCCCTACTCTCTTCCCTACTGTTCTTGCTGCTGCTGGTTCTCCTTCTCCCCACACTCACATAAATATGCTAGAGAAAATGAACATTTTAAAATTTTTCTTCTGGTTTACAATTATCATCAAACCCATGGTTAATGATCAGATTCATACAGAACATTACTAAGATAAACATCCGTTTATTCTATAATAGATGTATTGGTTTTAGTGAAGAGAAAGCTTTTGTATATGCTTTTCTTATGAAGTTAGGATCCAATTTATTTGAAGACCGTAGTTTCTGGTGGCTTTAATTTTTTTTATGCATCCCTAGGGAAGACCGCATTGAGATTCAAATTTCAGGTACCGCGCAATCAATGTTGATCATATTACACAAATAAATGTCCTTATGCTTTTCACAATGTAATTTAGAGTTAGTTTAACCCTTATCTTGATGTTTGAAGAAAGATGGTATACATAAAAACTACAGTGGTTTGTTTTGGTTTTCATTTCCTCCAAGTTACTTTTAAAAAAAAAAAAAAAAACAGATAAAAACTTTTAGGATCTTAAAGTCAGTTCATTTCTATATCACATTTATTCTCATGTAACATAAACTAATATTAAACATCAAGCATCAAACCCAAGTTTGCCCTGAATCCAGTTGTTTATGCCATACTTATATATAGGTATCACAAGTTGTCTTCACATCCACGTTATTAAGAATCTGCCATTTCAGTGGCATGTATTAAATATATAAAACTGATTATTATGTTGTATATCATCTCTTTATTCTATTTGGTGGTAGGTATAAAAATACTTCTGTCAAGTCAAAAAACAAATTATGAATTTCTTTATAAAAATTATGTATTGTAATTGTCAGTGTAGTCAAAGAAAAGTAGAAAATATTATGTGATTTTTAAACAAATAGTGGCAACAACTTTTAAAATTTTGTTTATTAATAATATTCAGAAAAGATTTTTAAGCACCATAGACTTCTTGATATAGCTTTACATCTTTGTTTACTAATGCCATTGTGAATTATTCTTAACTTGCATACCCATTTCTCTTCATTAATTTGTGGCAGGATATGATTAAAAATTGGCAACATTTAAAAACATTGTATATTATGGGCCGGCCCGGTGGCGCACTGGAGAGTGCGCCGCTTGGGAGTGTGGCGGCGCTCCTGCCGAGGGTTCAGATCCCATGTGGAGACCAGTTCCCGCTCACTGGCTGAGCGAGGTGCGGGCGCAACACCGAGGGTTGCGATCCCATTGCCGGTCCCCAGTACGGGCGCGACACCGAGGGTTGCGATCCTGTTACCAGTCAGTAAAAAAAAAAACAAAAACAAAAACATTGTATATTACAAACATAAATTATCAAGCAAATTGTTCAAGAGAAATGTTTTGTCTTCTCTTCTTGGACTTTTAAATAAAGAAAATTAAATGAAGAATAGAATTGAGTAATAAAATATCGGTTTTTCAAAAAGTTGCTTAATTTCATTTGTAGTTAATAAGTTATGTTAATAGTTTTTTCAACTGATTTTTCTAAACTGATTTAATGTGCTACCTTTTCATTCCTGGCAGGAACTGATTCCAGAGTTCTACTACTTACCAGAGATGTTCGTCAACAGTAATGGATATAATCTCGGAGTCAGAGAAGATGATGTAGTGGTAAACGACGTCGATCTTCCCCCTTGGGCAAAAAAGCCTGAAGACTTTGTACGGATCAACAGGATGGTAAGAACGATTTTGTTCTTGTTGGAACAGTCCTCAGGAAGTAAAATATTCTGTAGTTTTATTTTGTTTTTAACTATTGCAAATTGCCACTTAACATCTGTAAATACAAAGTTAAAAGATGAAGAAAAAGAAGAAAGCATTTTACTGTTGTCTTTTGACAGGATTCTTTATTGTAGAGTGGATTTTACTTTCATAGAGACTAATAAATGGTAATTCAGTTATATTTGCTCCCTTAGGAGAAGGCAATCAGATGAGCATCTGTTGACTAATATAACGTATTCTAACATGCTTAAAATAAATGCCCATTCCTTACTTTTGACTACTGGCTAAATTTGCACACTTTTTTACTCACAAAAATATTCAATACTTTTAAAAAGTACATTTAGAACATATTTATATGTAGGAAATTTAAGCGGTGAGACATAACTTCTGATGTAATACACTTGACTCTACAAGAACATCTCATCTCGTAAACATTCTTAGATAGAAAACATCGTGACTTTTTAATCTGTATGACAGATGTGTGGGTGCTCAGATAAGAACTGTGTAAAGAATGTTTGCATGTGGGAATTTTACAGGTTTTAATATATTTTTACCCATATTTAAGGAGATTTTAATCTCAATGTGATTATGGCATGTGGAAATGATCCACTTTACAAAACAATCTCTCGTGTACCATTGTTCTTCATTACTTGAAGAATTAGATCAATAAAACCAATGGCCCAAAATATATTTAAATGCTGTTTCACTCGGTCTCAAGTTTTTCCAACTGTCTCATAAACATGTTTTATTTTGTTTTTACAGCTTATTTATTTGAGTCAGAATCCAAATAAGGTCCACATATTATGATTGAGTTCATATATCCCTTAATCTGTCTTCCCTTCTGTAAGAGCTTTATTAAGATATACTTCACATATCATACAATTCACCCATTTAATGTGGAAAAATCAATGGGTACAGAGTTGTGTATTCATTACCACAATCAATTGCAGAACATTTTTATCACCCATAAGTAAACCTCATATCTTTCAGCATCTCCTGCCATTTCTCCCCATTTCCCCATTCCCCCCAGCCATCCCCATCCCTAGGCAACCACTGATCTACTTTCTATCTCTATAGATTTGCCTGTTCTGGACATTTCATGTAAACACAATCAATACAACACAAATACAATATGTGGTCCTCCACCTTCCCCTGATTTTGTGTCAATTTTGAGGGCTTTCACTGTCAATCACATGGTCTCTTCTACAAGAGAACTTTCTAAAAAGTTCATGGAAAAATGAAATTTAAAAAAAATATTAATCTTTCCATGAACATTTTGAAGATCCTTGTATTTTGGAGCTATATTATCTGTCTCTAAGAAATATTTTACTTTTCATGTACTTTATTTTAAAAAGTTGTTGCTGATATAATAGACCTATGTTGAAAAACACAGTATAATCTGCAATCTAGTCTTCTCCCTTTGAGGGAATATCATGTATTGCATAAATTTAATGTATAATCTCCCTCATTTCTCAATTGTAAATTGGCACTTTCAGATATATGGAATATTTCATACAATCTCCTTGAACAATAGACTATTTCTTCAATTTCTCCTTATTTGTAGAATTGGTAGTTTATTACCACACTACCCTTAGATACTTGAATACTGGCTATAATAACAGTGTGAGAATACCAGATCGACAAATTCAACCCTAGAAGCCCACTGTGTGTCAATATCTCTCAGTGACATCATTCCATTGTGTCTCCAGAGCCCAGAATTGTGCCTGGCACATAGTAGCTGGTTAGTACATATTTGCTGAGTGAATACATGAATGAATATTATAGTAGTAGTAATTTCTTTGCTGTCAGCGTATAGTCTAGTTAGGTCCAAACTGGTCAAATTAAATAAATTCTTCCCTCAGGCAAGCAAAGTAGCCAAAACTTGTTGCACAGGAGTTTTTGTTGCTATGCTTTTGAGCAGAAGTTCTCGTGGAGATGCTGATAATAAGTGCCTCTTAAATGTCGGGCATTAGACTAGGCACTTGATTTTTCTTTAACATTCATAAGGTATCCCCATTTTACAGATAAGAAACATGAGGGCCAGATATGTTCCATAATTTACCCATGGCAATGAAGCTATTAAATGGCAAAGCCCAGAGTCAAGGACAGGAAATTTTTTAACTCCCACATCATACTCTTTCCAGTATACCATCTGCCTCTGATATTATCTCTTCTTTGTGAAATCCATTGAGATTATTGGATCTCTACTTTTAAGTTTATGATTATCAATTGAGATTTTATTTATTTCCTTTTTTAAAAAATTCCAGAGACTGTTAATGCAAATCGTTCACAGATAAAGACTGCAAGTTCACTAACATTAAATATGCATTAAAGAAGAATAGAGTAGTTATCTTTATTGTCTACTGGACATTTCACATTTATTAATTTGCTAATGGTTAGACAAAATTAAACTGATTATGTACCAGGAAATGTGTATGATATTTTTTAGATTTCTGAATATGCAGCACTGCAGTCTGGATGATCAGGGGGCCAGTGTTGTTTCCCAGTTGTTTCCAGACTAGGCCACATTTCCTACTAGGAGCCTACTATTTTCAGTGTTAACCATTCCACAAAGTGTATAGATACTTTAGTATAGGTGTTTGCATTAATAATAAAAGACCAGAAAGTTGAGAAGAAAGTTTTAGGATTAGGGAAGATTTTACTATGATGTAAGGAGAGGACTTCTGTTAAAAAAAAAAAAAAAAAAAAAAAAAGTTTGGGAAATAGTCTCTCATGTATACCATCTATTCCATCTTGTCTTGAATATCTAGTCGAGGGTTAATTTAACTAAATTTCATTGTGAAAAGAATGGGGACATTTAGCTTTAGCATTTTCAGGAGCAGTTGACTATCCAAGATCAGTTTCTTATTAAATGATTTAAGCAGAGACTTCTTGTATTGGAAAGAAGCCGTTGGAGAGGTGGCTAGTCTGTGTGAATGTCTCCCTTCAGTTTTTAGAACTCCCTTATCTTGCATTACTAATAGCAAACTTCAGAGAGAACAAGAGTTATGAAGTATTTTAACCAATGCTCAATTATAATAAGTTAATTACTTCTCCAAACAGAGAAAGCCTGGGCAGAATATTATTTGGAAATGGGAATACAGCTAGTCAGTAGTACTTGGTGGTGGAAAGCTGCCTACTGGGTAAATGAGCCAAAGTCATAATAGAGATAGGTGGAAGTAAAGGTCCTCAGTGATATCTCTTCCTACAACTATGTCTTGCACTGTGATTCCAAATGCAGAAGTAGAAAGCACTGGACTAAGTGATTGGTCAGATGCCCCAAACTGGTTCACTGAAAAATAATTTATCAACTATAGAGATTTGTCACCCTAGTCTTTCCTTCTCCTTATTGCCCTCTCTGTCCCATGGCTCACTCTGTCTTCACAGCTCTTCTGGTTTTTTCACTGATTTACTTGATTAAGAGACATGGCAAAACAGGGCTTTAAAGAGAAACTTGCATTCAGCAAATGGTGCTGGAAAAGTTGGATATCTATATGCAAAAAGGGGAGGGGAACCTCAGTTCTTATTGCACACTGTGTAAAAACTAACTTAAAAAGGATCATAGACATAAATGTAAAACCTAAAACTATAAAGCTTCTAGAAGAAAACATTTAGGAGAAAGTCTGTGTGACTGTAGCTTAGGCAAAAATGTCTTAGATATGACAACAAAAGTATAATGCATAAAAGAAAACATTGATAAACTGGACTTTATTAAAACCTCTTTCTTGAACAACATTGTTAAAAAATTAAAAGACAAGCTGCAGGGAAAAAAATATTTTTAAAACACATCTAATAAAGGACTAGGATCTAAAATATATAAAGAGCACTCAAAACCAATAAGAAAACAATAATTATAAAATTAATTTTTAAAAAGAAGGGACAAAAAAATCTTCAGCAAAGAAGATATATAGATGGCAAATAGGCACTTGAAAAGATGTTCCACTTCGAAAATTATTTCACATGTTAAAATTAATTAACCAAATTGAAACCTGTAATGAGATACTACTGCACAGTAGAATGGCTTATAAAAAGAAACGCTGACATTCCAAGTGCTAGTGAAGATGTACAGTACACTGAAACTCACGTACCCTGCGGGGAGAAAACAGTTTGTTAGCTTCTTATCAGCATACACTTAGCATACAAGCCAGCAATCCCATTTCTCAGTATTAACCCAAGAAAAATGAAAAGTTATCTTTACAGAGCACACGAATGTTTATTGTAGCTTTATTCATTTTCATCAAAAACCCAGAAACTACTCAAATGTTCCTCACCTGGTGAATGGATAAACAAACTGTGGGACATTCATACAATGTACTGATTAGCAATAACAAGGAACAAGGTACTAATACATGTAACAAAATCATTTTCTTGCTGGCATTTAGATGATGCCAAAACATTTTAACAGCTTTATTAAGATATAACTTATATATTTTAAAACTCACTTGTTTTCAGTGTACAATTTAATTACTTTTAGTAAACTTACAGAGTTGTATATGACCATCACTACAGTCTAATTTTAGAACATTCTCATCACAGCAGAATGATCCACTGCCCACTTCCAGCCCCAGGCAACCACTAATCTACTTTTAATCTCCATAGGTTTGCCTTTTCTGGGCATTTCATATAAAAAGAATCATACAATATGTGTTCTTTGGGGTTTGGCTTCTTTTCCGTAGCATATAGTTCTTGAGATTCATGCACATTGTAGCAGGTATCAGTACTTTGTTCCACGTTTTGTGCAGTAGTATTTCATCATGTGGAACATCACATTTTGTTTATCTTTCCATCAGTTGATGAACATTTGAGTTGTTTCCACTTTTTGTCCCTTATGAATATGTGCTATGAAATTCACACACAGGTTTCTGTGTGAATGTACATTTTTTTTTTTTTTTTTTGTCTTTCTCCATGTCCGGCAACGGATCGCAACCCTCAGTGTCACCCCCGCACTAGCGCAGTGC